ATAGAGAAAAACTTCAACTTATTAATTAAGTTGGATATACGTTACGCTGTATTTGCGGGATGGCAGATTTCACAAGCAACTTGATGTTTTCTATACATTTCGGTAAGTCAGTACTTGTGTTAAGTGAATTCGGACAGCATTTTTTTATTAAACTTTCAAAACATTTTAAGTGATTGGTACAAGTTAGGTTTTCTTGTCGCGCACGTATGAAGAAGTATTTTTGCGAATTGCAATTTTAAGAGAAGCAAACAAAATGGTTAATTTATATGCAATCAAAAACATAACTTGTAAAAAACCAAGTCTCGCAACTCATTTCTTCCACCGTAAAAAGTTGTGAGATCCATGTAATACCAAGTCAGTTAATTTATTCAGTCCCTACTTAAGGATCTTTCTATCTCAAGTTATTACGTAATTAGCTAACCTAACAACATCTTATAGTGACCATATCAATATTAAAAAAAAACTTTTGTTTTAAATAAATAGATTGACTTGACCATCGCATGAAAACACAATGTATCTCACAAGTAATACATATTATATTAAATTAGATTGTTTATTTTTCATTCAGGCTTCTAGTTTTATCCACAACGAATTTCTTCGAGAAAAGGATGGTACGGCCGTGCCGCTTTTTTGCTCGATTTGGCGGGGGCACTGCTGTGCCCCCAGATAATTTCAGAGTTAAAAATAATAATTTCTTGATATTAGAATAGAAGTATTTTAGGTAATTTTACCCAAGTGGTGTGTAGTCATTAGCATTTTCCACCTAGCACTAGTTTTCTGTTTTGTTCCGACTTTATCGCATAACAATGCAGTTTTGTTCTTCGCATTAGGTAATTTTCTAGAACTGCTTTGTTAGTCTAATGGTGACGACTGCTAATCACGTGGTCCCAGGTTCGACTTCCGGGTCTGGTAGATCAGTTATTGGATATTTTATTTCAATATATTCTCAGTAGCAGCTTTGATTCAGGAAGTTGGCCATGTTTCACCCGCCTCGGAAAGCAATTAAATTTTTGCGCCTGATTTTTCCTGGTCGTGTCGGAGAATGAACGAGGAAAGAGTGATAAAGCAAATTCATGTTTCAGAAGTGAACGGCAGAGTCGGGAAGGGACGCCCTAGACGGAGATTTATCGACTAAATTGGCGATACATTGAAAATGGGCCAGATTAGGAGTACCCTTAATCGACAAGTGTGTATGCGTAGATATATGGATGTAAAGGAGGCGAGAGAGGTGTGTCAGGATCGCACCAAATGGAAGTCCGTAGTCTCTGCCTACCCCTCTGGGTGACAGGCGTGAGTGTTTATGTTGTTGTGTTGTTTTGTCGGATTGCCGTCCCATGGGACTATGAGAGTGAGGAAATAGTGAGTGCATCTATGCGTGTGTTACTTGGGCACTATAATCCTGTCAATCGCAGGTGGATAGTCTCCATTGAGACTGGCCGTGACCAAAACTCGGTCTGGATCCATTTGCATGTGAAACGGTAGCTTAATGCTGTTGTGTTTCGTATGGTGAGTGAAGAGAATCGGAGATTTTTTTTATTGGAAAAGAGGCATTCCATCTCAGTCCTCAGGGGTGAAAACACATGTGCATTTTGATTTTTAATCGAGAATAGATGTAGATGTCTATGGGCTAGATCATCTACTTGCCCATCACGTGGAGTGTGTGCTCGTTTGTCACCCTTATTATATAAAATACTCTTCAGCCATCACTATAGACTTTTAAGATGATTACCGAAAACTATTTGTATTTTGCAAAATTATACCTATTGACGACAAAGTTGAACTGACATTAATAACTGAAAATTACTTTACCAAAAATTTTAAAAAGGTGGATAAGGTACGAGAATTATACTTCGCTCGCAGAGTTGATAATCTAAAACTATAATTACCTAAATAAAATACTCGTAACTTATACGTAATAACAATTTTAACCTTGGTTTTTTACCTTAGTCTTTGAAAGACGTCATTACACGTAAAAATATAAAATTTAAGCTAAAAAAAATTATTGCAACAAACTCTTACTAAATACTCGTAACATAAAACAACCTACTTTTTCTACTATAGTGCTTTACTTTACTTATACATTATTTTACTTTAATAACTTTAAATTTAAAATATATGTTACTTATAATCATTCTGTATTACGATTATTCACGAAACGTCATAATGTGATTTGTTATTTGTGATTTTACACTCATCATTATGTGATTTTACATTCATCGCCTACAACTATTCTTTATTTATGTACCCACATTTAGTTCGTAAAATAGATATATTATAATATTTAATGCACATGATTTTAGTTGGTAATAATATTAAATGTTATTTCTGTAATGTAGTGTAATGTGTAGATTAGAATAATGTGTAGTTATTGTCGACAGTATTGGTGAACGTAAAAACTCAAATGAGTTTATGTTTACACTAAAACTGTTTGACTTTGTAATCACAAATTTCATAAGTAAATAGATAAAAAATATTTAAAATAAAAAATTTTGTACAACCGACTTCAATATAAATTATTAAGAATAACTCAAAAACTGTTGGTCAGACCTTAATCAAATTTATCTGGGCTCACATGTGAAGCACCAGCTTTCAAATAAAAAAGATTAATCGAAATTGGTTCAACCAATAATAAGTAATGAAGTAACACACATAAAAAAACATACAGTCGAATTGAGTAGTCTCCTTTTTGAAGTCTGTAGAAAAGACCGAATATCCGCCGCAGTAGCAACGGCTTTATATGCTTTCCGAGACACGATGGTGGAACTCTGTCTACTTCGTGACTCTGGGCTGTTACTGAGGATGTCTTGACAATAAAACTCAATAACTGATTCTGTGCCCGACGCAGGTTTCGAATCTGGATCACATGGTCATCAGTCGCGCTTACAGACACTAGACCAACAAGACAGTCAAATACACACAATGAAATATTAAAAGCAAAGAATTGTACGACGCTTTCTCGAGGATTATTGTTATGTTGTTATTATTGTGTGTATTGCTTGTTTCTGTTGGTATCCATTCTCAGTGTAAATATAAACGCATTTGACGTCATAAAGTGCGTTGTACAAACGTCATACTACTGTGTGTCGGGCTATGTTTAAAATATGGAAATGATCCAAAGACACTGCACGTAGCAGATGCTGGTGTTTGTTAATTATTGACACAAGGTATGCTTCATTTGTGTACATTGACATTCTTTGTCCTACCAGTCATTAATATTGCTTTTACATATAATAATAATAATAATAAGATTCTTTATTAAAAACTTATATATGTTACAAACAAAATGTTGCACTGATTCCTAAACTAGGATTAATCCTGTATCTTAGGATATCAGCACGTAGTATATACATATCTTTGCAGGTGCATCTATCCATTTGGACAGGTGTCCAAATGGATAGATTTGAAATCTTTTATTTATTTATTTGATTTTCAGTATGTTACATGAGATACTCGTATTATTAAATGATTGATGATGATATGATTACACATATAAAATATATCCATTAAACACATATGACTGTAAGAAAAAAATAATGCAGTGGCTTAAGACACTTAATTACGATCAAACTGAAGCTTTATTACAATTTATCTTATAACACATTCACTCACTGTCTTTTTTAACACATGCACACACAAGCACACGCACGCACACACAAACACACACACACACACGCGCGCACGCGCGCGCGCGCACACACACATACACGAACACACACACACACACACACACACACACATACACGAACACACACACACACACACACACACACACACACATACACGAACACACACACACACACACACACACACACACAGACACAAACATACCCTGTTTCTTTTTTGTTGAATGTATTTAGTTAAGGGAGGGCGAGGACCTTCTACCACAAGTATCTTTATACTTAAAAGAAGTCCTCAAACTTGTACTAATTTAAGAATATGTTGGAAACAATAAACTTTCAAACTTTCAAACTAAGTCTTTAGTAGAGACATGCAAATTTGTTTTTTTAAAAAGTAACATAATTTTTATTCAAATTAATTATTATTAAATCATTAAAGCAGCATTTTTAGCCGACTTCAGAAAAAGAGGAGGCTTAAATTTGTATATTCTTTTTTTTCTTTTTTTATTAGAGGGGGCAAACGATCATACGGGTTACAACTGCAAGATCAGGGTTATTGCAGGTGCGTTGCCCGCCTTTTAATTTAGGCTCTTTTCTTGAAGGGCTCTAAGTCGATCGCATGGGAAATTCGCTGATGTTAGTCGATTCCACAAGGAAGTTGTGCGAAGAAGACAACTTCTGGTAAATGGTACAGTGGTGGACCACGAATCATCTAGATGGTATTGTACCTCGATGATCATATGATGGTACCTCGAGTTTTGTCGCGATGTATGATAGTGAAATTTAGCGGCTGGAATTAGTCCGAACAATTCCTCTGAGCACTTTTTCGTATGTATATTACGCGATATCTTCGCCAATTTTTAATCGATTTTGATGATTCTGTCTTTTTAATCTATTTAGGTAATCTACTTCAGGGTTGGAGAATATTTTCCACCCCTAAGGGTGACAAAACAGAGTATGAAATTTTTAATTTAACTCTTTAGACGACAATGGGTTGTGATTTCTCAGTGCTCACTCTAAACGGTAAAGAAATTAAAAGTCCAATGCGAACATCTGAAAGAATGTATTAATGGAAAATTTTAAAGTTGGCTATATTTATTAAATATACTACTAGCGGTTACTCGGCGTGTGCAACTACGCTGAAAAACGAAATACATTTTGTTTATTTGTTGGAAAAAAAAGGAAATTCAAAGAAATTATTTATTAACTTTAGTGTCTAATTGATTGTTTTAGTGATCTAAAACCATCTTCAAATTATTACCTTTCTAATGAATCCGGTTGGGGGACATCGTTTGGATGGTTTCAAAGTCTATAACGGATATAGGTAGAATTTTTTTTGTGTTTCATGTAGATATTTAGGGTTTATAATAAATAATACCTTACCCTTAGTTTTATGTCCTTTCTTGTGTCCCTTCTTTTCTTCAAAATTGGATCCCCTGTGTCCGTGAGCTTCTTCTTCGTGATTACCCTTGTGGCCGGCGAGATCGTGGTGCTTGGTCTTCTTTCCCGCCGCCTCTTCATACTCCTTGCGGTGGTTTTCGTCCTTCTTGAAGCCCTTACCACCTTTGTCTACGTGCTGGTCTGTCTTGAAGCCTTTTGTAGTCTGAACAAAGAAAAAAAATTGTAACTATATTTGAAAAGTGATCTCGGCTATACCGCTTCTTATTTCATATTCACTTCGTGGCAATGAAGATTGCAGCAACACCGGAACATTATAAAAATGTTAGAAAAATTATGTTAGCACTTAATGATTTCAATATTATGTACATAAACCTAGAATTTATTTATTTTTTAATCTTCGTTGTACTATACTTTAATGTAAGGATTACCAATGAGTGGACTTAATGCCTTATGTCATTCTCAACCCTGGGAGAATTAGACAAGTAAATGTTGGTACGTGTTAAAAAATGTCAAAATGCCTACACATGTATTGTATATAAACATAAAATATATTCGTATACGTAATAATATACATATAGAAAAATAGTATAAATAAACGTGGTAGAGCCATGCTGCAGCTATATTTGTAGTATAGTTGTAGCACGAATGGGTCGGCTCGACCGAGACAGGACCACGCTCTCACAGAATACCAGCGTAAAATGGCAGCTTGACACTGCTGTGTTTCCTATGGTGACAAAACTCCATTTTACTGGCAGAAAGGCATTCCATCTTAGTCCTCACGGGTGTCGACGCATCTGCATTTTGATCCTTTATTGAGGATAGATGTAGATGTCTATGGGTCACAACAACCACTTACCATCAGGTGGACTGTGTGTTCGTTTGTCACTCTGTCCTATAAAAAAATATGAATATATACACATAAAAATAACATTTAAAAAAAGGAAATTAGTATATTAACTTTGGCCTCTCAATACAATTACGAAAATGTAATGTATGTACATGTAAATATACATAAGTGGTTTTAAAAAAATAAGTGATATTCACTTTGTAAATACTAGGAATAGACACAAGCTTTGATTATATTATAATCAAAGGACACAAGCTAGTAGTACCAAATACTCGACTCCACCGAGACAGTAATTCATACTTGGAGAGTTGTATACGATTTTCCAACAAAATCTCAGAAAATATACAAAATCTGACTTCCACCAAGTTTAAAAACTTTATTAAACCAAGATTGTATAAAAAGTGTTATTATATTATTAAGGAATTTGTGGATGATAATAACCCCTGGGATTTAGTGATCGCTACCATACTATTTCAAATTATTTGTGTTGTTAGCGGGGCATTCTTTTTGTCAAAAAAGAATGCCCCGCTGTGTTTCTTGCTGGTTTTTCGCAGGACAGAAGTATTTTCCGAATCAGTGGTAAATTAAACAAAGGAAAGATTTTCAATAAGTATTATTTATATAAAAATTCGATGAATACGCTCAAATTTTAACCAAGGCCATCACACTTGTATGTATCAAGTGGTAAAATTAAAAAAAATTGTTCTACCGACTTCAATATAATTGAGAATGAGAAGACCATCAATGTAGTCAAAGTCAATTAAATACGCATTATTAAAGATAACTCAAAAACTTCTGGTCAGATCTTGATCAAATTTATATTATGGGGAAAAGCACCAGTTTTGAAATAAAAAATAATAATCAAAATCGTTTCACTCAAAAAAAAGTTCTGAGGTGTTACCTACCACATAAAAAATAAATTAAAAAAATACAGTCGAATTGAGTACTTCCTCCTTTTTTTGAAGGCGTTTAAAAATAAGCCTTATAATTTAAAATTTCATCTAATACATAAGCAAAATATCTTCGGCGGTGGATTAGTGAAAGGCTGTAATAATTATGGTGGTAAAGAACAATGCGAAAACATAGACAATGTATTAGTTGAGAAGGCATAACTATTATTTGATATTTTTCTCTTCTCTTTATTAGTTGTTGAACTGTTTTTCTGCCTAGAAGTCTGTCTGGGTAAGTACCTCCCTCTTTCCTTTTTCTCCCGCTGCAGCACCAACGACCGTGGAAGGACCACGCTCGTACAGAATACCAGCGAGAAATATCGGAAGAAACAAGAATCGAAGATTCGTTTTACTGGTAATAAGGCATTCCATCTAAGTTTAGTAGGTGGTAGGACTTTTTTGCTGCCTAGATATCTGTCTGAGATAACTTTTATATTTCTGCTTCAAATAGCACTGCTCTAAGTGCACGCTCTGGCGTGTTCCAGTCTGAAGCGTATAGTGAGCCAGTATAACCACAGGCTGTGATGTATTCCATTGTACTCCTCAGAGGTTACAACGCATTGGTAGCTTTCTTTATTTGAAGATTGCAGGTGTCCACGGGTTACAGAAGCTACTTACCCTCAGGTGGTTTTTAAAGAAAAAAAAATCGGCCGTGGCACGTCACGTCGCATCGTGTCGCGTTGTTGTTTTTATAACTCGGCTAGCTAAGGCCTAAGGCTCATGTTTTTTTTTAAATATTTTATTACATAAAATACAGTCGGTTGTTTCTTATGCTACTTGTATAAATGCTTGTTTTTATTTTGTAAACAATTACACTACACCCATAATATTGCTCTTATTGACATACCAACAAACTGGAACGTTCTGGCGGAAATCGGAAAGATAGTGTTGTGTTACGTGCAAACAACTCGAAGTTTACAAAAATCCTCCAATTGTTTGGGATTTTTGCAATACACATGCTTTATTTATTACATCATTGTCAGATAGTGAATATTCTTCCTTTATGCTATCTTATTTGATACACGTGGCAGAGCCACGCTGCAGCTATATTATGGTTGTATCACGCTCTCACAGATTACCAGCGTAAAATAGCAGCTTAATGCGGCTGTGTTTCGTATGTTGAGTGTAGAGATCCATTGACCCTTGTCACTAGAAATGAGACATTCCATTTTAATTCTCTCAGGAACATGTTGTGAGGCATTTCATTGCATGGGATGACTTTTTTTGAAGTTATTTGCACGTTTCCACGTGTTCCTATCATAAGGTGTAGGTACTGTTTGTTAGTAACAAAACATTATTATAGTACAAGTAACAATGTATCAGTATTCCAAAGAATCTGAAATTTAAATTTTGAACTTAAGAATGTTAAAATTTGTTAAGACTGGACACTAATTTTGACGTTGTGGAGTTGAGTTGCACTCGAGATTGTCTCTGAATACCGGCCTAAAATATATTTTTATATAATAAAATAATGCTGATAAACGAGAACGTAGTCCACCTAATGGTAAGTGGATGCTTTGGCCCATAGACATATACATTTGTCTTCGATTGAGAATCAAAATGCAGATGCGTTGTCAACCTCTAGTGCCTAGTTTCCAGTAAAAAGGGTCTCCGGTTCTCTACACTCACCATATGAAACACAGCAGTATTGAGCTGCTAGGTTACACTAGTATTCTGTGAGAGCGTGATCTTACCCTGGTCGAGCCCATCCATTCGTCCTACAACCATAATACAGCTGCAGCGTAGTTCAACCTCGTATAAACTTTGTACATGCACAAGAGACAAAGTACTTTTTCGATTCAGCCCATTGTTAAAAACATTTTAAAAGAATCATTATTTAAATTACAACCTTAAAAGCAACTCAAATTCGTAAGGCGGCTAAAGAAAGTGGTGTTCTTAAAAGTCAGTGGAGCGATGCGGACGTCGGCTGAGGGGGCTCAGTTTTTGTTGTTATTTACACAATGCCAGCGCATTGTTCACTCTGTGGGATGTCATGTTTGTTTCTTGAACGCTGCTTTTGCTTACAAATAAAATATTGATTCAGAGGCGCATCTTCATTTTTAACCTTCTAACTTCAAAGAAAAGTAGTTCTTTGTTTCCCCATGTAAGTTTGTATCTACGCGATTTTTACTGAAGTTAGTCGACCGATTTCTATGACATTTTCACTGTAATAAGTATATATAGATTACAATAAAAGGTAAATCGCATAAAGGTAAGCTGTATAAGATGTAAAGGTTTTAAAATTATCTATTTTTTTTGAAGATGGTTCATATTAAAAAAAAAAGAACTTTATTTTTTATTGTATTTTTTTATCAATACGCACAAGTACACGCGTATTAATTGTTACACAAGTTAGGCATGACAAGCAGACTGTTTAGAAAACTGTACTAATTGAGTGGCAGCTCAATGCTGCTGTTTCGTATGGTGAGTGTAGAAAACCGGATACTCTTTTTACTGGAAACGAGACATTCCATCTTAGTCCTTACGGGTGACAACGCATCTGCAGTTTGATTCGTGATCGAAGATAGATGTAGATGTCTATGGGCCACAGCAACCACTTACCATCAGGTGGACTGTGTGCTCGTTTGTCAACCTTATACTATAAAAAAAATAGAAAAGCAATCCTACCATCTAGGAAGAAGTTAATATTTATAAGATTTAAGTAAATATGGCCAAAGATATGGTTTCGTTACTTGTGTCGTAAATTAAGGCGTTGAAATCAATGAAATGTAAATAATAAAATAAATATAGCCGCGGATAATCAAAATTTTAATATTTAGTGATTTTTTTTTTATAGGATAGGGTGACAAACGAACACACAGTCCACCTGATGGTAAGTGGTTGCTGTGGCCCATAGACATCTACATTTATTCTCGTTTGCGAATCAAAATGCAGATGCGTTGACACCCGCGAGGACTAAGATGGAATGCCTCCCTTCCAGTAAAAAGGGTCTCATGATTATAAACCCGGAATGACGAGCCTACAAAAAGCCAGTTCGTTTACATATACACTTAGGCCCGCCGCATACATACGGAATTCCGTTTCGATATTCCGATTCGGAATTCCGAACGGTCGGCCACACACAAACGGAATCCCGTTTCGCTCGCAAAATATCGAACGGAAAACTACCGTACGTGTGTGGCGGGTCATAGATTTTATATGGACTCGCTGCGTTCGGGATTCCGAATCGGAATATCGAAACGGAATCTCGAAACGGAACTCCGTATGTATATGGCCGGCCTTAAACAACACTATAATACTTTCTGCGCAGTTGACACTCGAACGGTATTCGGAAGTGATCGTAATCGTTTTTAAAATAACCAACAGCTTACCTTCGCTCCATGATCCGAATGATGGTGCCCTTGATGACCGTGCCCGCCCCCTTGCACGTGTGCATGATGCCCGTGATGCTTCTGTTGCTGGTGATGATGCCCAGCCGCCGGGAACTGGTCCTCGGACAGTTGCGGCTGCGGCGCGGGAACAATCACCGGCGACGGTCCGTTCGCTGATGGTACAGACGCAGCACCCGGCAGTACATTTGAGGCAAAGTTAGACGCGTGAACAGGGTTAACAACACTTAAAGGAGAATGGGAAGGACCTAGTTGACCTGGCGCGGACACATACTGAGCTGGGTTTTGAGACGGCACAGCATGGACACCCAATGTATTGTGACTTCGACTCACATCAGCGTTCAGGTATCGTCCTGACTTGGCTCCCGGCGCCGCGTACACTTTGTGGTAGTGTTCAGCACTCGCCGCCAGCATTTCTTCGTACGGCACAGAGGGTTGGGAGGCTTCCTCGTGGAATTCGTGGACTTCGTATTGATGAACCTGTCGCGGTCGTCTAACGTATTCAGATGCGATTGGCGACAGTTGATCGCTTTGCGGCGTGTCACAACGCTTAACTCGGACCGGTTCCTCATGTACCTCGACAGCTTCCCTCGTTCTACGTTCATGGTTGTTGTGGTCCTTATTGTACGACTTTTCCAAGCCTTCTTCTATCCATGGATCCTCCCTTAAGTTCGCAGTAGCGAACGCCGCCAAGGAAAGCAGCCAGATCAGCGCCGGTTTCATCTTGCAATAACTGTGCAGAAATGTGTTCCCTTTTTTTTTATTTTATACTTATAAACGCGCCTTTCACCGGGTTGACTAATCCAATTGTAAAGGATTCGTTGCTAAACTATTGCGGCAGGTGCTTGCTTTTGTGATAAAGGTGTGCAAATGTTTGCGAACGAGAGTGCGCGGGAGCGTGGCGTGTCGGCGACTGGGCTGCCGGCGGCGCTTCGAAAGCGTTGTTAACCCGAAGCCCGAATCGGATTGTGTTCGTTTCCCCTGACAATTGTCTTTGCTATTTTTCTATTAGTGAAAACAGCGGCCGTGAATACCGCCGATGCTTTTGCTAGTTACACTAGGGATGGGCAAATGAAAATATCGATAAATATCAAGATTTACTTACTTATTTTTATTTAAAAGTCTACGTTGAACATAGGCGTCGCCCAAAGACTGCCTCAGTTTATTGGCCATAGTTGCCACGCTTGAGAGACGGGTTGGTAGCTGCAGTGTTTTATTTTTTGTGCTTTCTATAGGAAGATTTCCTGATTTGTTTCCATTTTTCAACTCTTATGATACCCACGGGACTAGATGGGTACTAGATATTCTTACAATGCCACTGGTATATATAACTCAAAGACTATTAGTCAGACCATAATCAAATTAATATGGGACTACATGTGAAGCACCAGCTTTCGAATAAAAAAAAAGAATCATCGAAATTCGTTCACCCAGTAAAAAGTAATGAGGTAACACACATAAAAAAACATACAGTCGAATTGAGAACCGGCTCCTTTTTGAAGTCGGTAGAAAACAGAAAATAATTTACTGGTCACTAATAAATTCACTTTTTAAAGATGCGGCGCTTAGCATTAAATATGTAAGTGTATCCATACAATGTATAAAATAGATGAAATCTGCTACTGAGCTCCATTCAAGCAAACATATCGAAAGTGATACAAAGAGGAAGTTCACGGTTTTTAGAGAGCTATACGGAGAGGGATATACTCGGAGCTTCTTTTCGTGATATACATCGTAATGAGGATATCCGACGTAGGACGAGGTAACCGATATAGCTCAACAAATCGGTAAGCTGAAGTGGCAATGGGCCGACCATATAGCTCGAAGAATCGACAACTGATGGCAAATAAAGGTTTTCTAATGGCATCCTGGATAAGCGAAGTATAGCCCACTCGTTGGAGTGACCACCTGATGAGACATGCCGGAAGTTGGATTCATTTGGTTCGGGATTGTGTTTTGTGGTATTCTTGGGGAAGGTCTAACTTATTACAAAGTTCCCAGCAACTTCGCCCGCGTGAAATTTGGCTTTCATGGGTTTTAAATTTTTTGTACGGATCCCTAATTCCTTTCTTTAAATAAAAGTAGCCTAAGTTACTCCTTATAACATCAGCTATCTGCCAGTGAAAGTCCCATCCAAATCGGTTTGCAGGTTTTTGCGTGATGCGTGTTCAGACAGACGTCGTGTTAGAGATTTATTATAGTAATAGATAATATTATGTATTTATGTAAATATGAAAATGAAGTATCTATGAAGAATACTTGGGGTGGGCCTATGTTTAGCAGTAGCCTATCGATGAGCTGTAACGTTGATGATGGCGAAAATGATACTCGAAAAATAAATATGCTTCATTTTTTATATGTATTTTGATATTTTACATAATTCTGCCAAATACCAGTGTTAGCATTGCTATGTTCCGTTCTATAGAGTATAGTAGAGTAGAGAGTCAGTATTATTATAGGTTGTGAAGTCTTATTCCTTAAAGGAGACATCGAATTTGTAGCCTTCTTGGTTTGAAGGTGACTGCAGGTGTCCATGGACTGCAGTAGGTTTAGATTTATGAAAAAAAAATATCAACGATAAACATCGATAATTTTAATTAAATATCGATTTTAACCAAGCCTAAATTCGACCGCGATTTCGACAATACATGGACAGTGACACGTCATTCGAATATCGTTTTTAAAAGTTTTTGACCTACCTTCAAGTCGCGTCATTTGTTCTATTTGCGCCGCGGCGCTTGTTTGTGCTGTACACAGATCTATCGCGAGGCTTATCTTCGTACTACGCCGGAGAGTATATTAGTTCAACGATGTGAAATCAAGCACTATATCTATAGGCGCGGTTTACTCAAAACAGAAATAGAACCGACACGTCAATCTTATCCTGATCTCTGGAATAAGAAAATGTTAATATACTCGTATTTATTATTTAGCGACTAGTAGACATAAATTGCAAACGAATAACGAAAACATATATTTGAAAATTGAAAAAAGACTAAAAGACATTAATTTCTATATTTATATCGCACTATAAATCTTCGCACATACATATGCCTATCGTTCTCAAGAAATGTACAATTCGTCACCGAGGATTGAACTCAGGCTTGCGTACTGTGAAACTTTGAGAGGAGCACGCTACTACTGAGCTACCGCGACAGTAGTTCTAAATAAATATAATATACGAGCCGTGTTAGCTCAGATGGTTAGCGCTCGCTGTAAGTTTCACAGTACGCGAGCAACCCGGGTTCGATTCACGTCGGCACCAATGAAATTGTTAATTGCAATTTTAAGTGCTGTATTTACCACGTGCTCGGCGGTTAAGGAAAACATCGCGAGGAAACCTACGTGTCTCAGAAATAAGACGGAAGACATGTGTAGTACGTCAACACGCAATGGGACAGCGCGGCGGACATTTCCTTGCCCTAAAACCCTCTCAGAAATGAGGGGAGGCCTGTGCCTAGTAGTGGGACGTATGATAAGCAGTAATTTCAACTAACTTTAACTTTTATAATATACGGGTACATACTCAGGGTCTGGTCAACTCGAGTTCACTATACGCTGACAAGGTACTCTATTTTGAGTACATGATAGAACATACTTCATTCACCGATGGGTCTTCAGTTAATCGAATATACATCAGATGTCTATGGGCCAGAACATCCACTTACCATCAGGTGGACTGTCTGTTCTACCTTATTCAATAAATAAAAAAAAAAACTATGACAAAAACGTGATTTTGTTCTTTAAACTTTCATATAATTTATTTTGAATTAAGTGATCGTAGCTTATTGTTTAAATGGAGAAATGCGTACACATACCCGCCTCGCGGGGGCACAGACGGGTTATGTCGGACTTGCACCGACTAAAACCCCATGGTGTTCCACCTTCGTCGTATATTGGCAGGCCCACGGGAAAGCTTTCACACAAATCCGTGGCCCCACCAGAGCTGGCCGCCTCATGGCGGCTCCTCCTTGGGGTTATTCCCCCTATCTTCTGCTCAGGTAAGGCGCACCAGAACACATGGGCCCTCCTCCGTGGCCTCCAACTTCACCTGCGCAACGGAAACCCCCGTGTCCGATGCGTGAATGTTATGGAGCCAGGAAACACGAGCACTCAGAAGCACTAGCCTTCCTCACCCAGCGGCGGATCTAGTGTATGGCTCCACTACCAACCAAGGTCCAGCTGCGGATGGTAGGGAAAACGGCGCCTCGCAATACCGGCACTCATCTCCCCCCGTAGCCCCACGACCACTGCACGTCGGTGTGGCCCCGTCAGAGCCGCGGAGGATAGGGCGAGTAGCAAATCGCCATACCAACATTCCTCTTCCGCCGCGACTCCACCTCGGCTGCAGCGGTAGGTGGAGAGGGCACCCCTCGCCGCAGCCCACCAACACAAATCCGAGGTGGGCTCGCTAAGTCCACTCGGAGTTGCCATCTCGGGTTGGCCCTTCACCTCGGACCAGCCACGGCTACTAAGGTCCCCCGACACGACAAGGCGAAAACTCGTTCGGGGTACCTACCTACCTAGTTTCTTCATTTAGGGAAATTGAAGAGAAATGATTTTTTAAAATCGTTTTTAATATAATCCTTTAGTAAAATATGTACATATAATTTAATATTAAAAATATTGTACAACGGACTTCAATATAAATTACTAAGAATAACTCAAAAACTATTGGTCAGACCTTAATAAAATTTAGATGGGACCACATGTAAAGCACCAGCTTTCAAATAAAAAAAAATCATCGAAATCGCTTTACCCAGTAAAAAGTTATGAGGTAACACACATAAAAAACATATAGTTGAATTGAGTAGTCCTTTTTAAGTCGGTGGAAAATGTGAATTTTAATGTGTATTTTAAACGTGCTAGAGCCATGCTGCAGCTATATTAATAGTATAGTTGTAGCACGAATGGGTAGGCTCGACCGTGGAAGGACTACGCTCTAACAGAATACCAGCGTAAAATAGCAGTTTAATGCTGCTGTGTTTCGTATGGTGAGTGTAGAGAACCGGAGACCCATTTTACTGGAAAAGAGGCATTCTGTCTTACCTCACGGTTGACAATGCATCTACATTTTAATTCGCAAACGAAGATAGATGTAGATGTCTATGGGCCACAGCAAACACTTATCATCAGGTGGACTGTGTGCTCGTTTGTCACGCTTATTCTATAAAAAAAACTCATGTTACATACTAAACATGATATATATGTATTATTTTTATTTTATTTGCTCATTATTTTATTATTCATTCATTCATTTATTACAGCCTATCCAATTCTACTGTTGAACACGGCCTTCCAATAATGACCACTGCACCCTAAAGTGATATTTGGCCTGCAACACCTGTGAGGCGTATATGCAACCGCGGTTTTATTTGCTAGTCGTCAGGCAGACGCCGCTGCTCAACTCCTGGTTCGTTTCCCTCTGTCACCTATTACGCCACACACAGAAGTCCATTGCCCTTGTCACTAAAGGCGAGAATCTTTTAAATATCAACATGAAGATGTTAAAAAACCTAAACAAGTAATAAATAACCTAAAAGGCATTTAAAAAGTATTCTTGCCGAACTTTACAGGGAAATTGTATTTTCATAACGTCTCCTAAAGTTGAGCAGAACTTTTTAATTTATTGTTATAGCGCCGTAACAAGTAATGAATAAACGAGGAGCCACTAAAGAAGCAAAAGCAAATTTTCAGGCCAATTTTATTTTTCTACCGTATTC